AACCAATAAGGTGGCTCTCCTATCTAATAACGTTGTTGTATCCCTAATACAGTCGCGATTTCCTGACCATCAATCTATTATTTAAACCATTTCCTTCTAACTCTAACGAAAATGAGAATACTTCCTCAGGTCATCTAAAAGGTCATTTTTAATAGACTGACCCAAATAACCTAATGAATGTTAGCTCACTAGAAACGTGTACAAGTAATCTCGAAGAATTAAAACATTAATATCCTCATCCACCAACGCACTATTTTTTTTTCTCGGACATATGAACTTTGTACCAGCATATTAATGATAGTAACATGATGCTATAGGTGTTAGTGTGGCGGAGAAAATAGTGTTAAAGCTCACAAGTGATGACAAGTTTTTACCTAATTATTCAAAAAGTAAAGTCTCACTAGAACAAGCCATAAAACGGTAATCTTGTGTTCTTGGGAAAGTACGGTTATGATTCCAGCAAATAAAGAAAAGTACAGTAGGGAACTCTTCGAAACAAAAGTTACGTACAAGTATATATATACATGTATAATGATTACTAGTTTCTAAGACATTTTACCGAAAATAATTACGATTTGATTATATGGAACTTGTTACTATTTAATATTTTCCCCGAGGACCGTTATTTACTTGTTTAAGATATATTTTAATGTTATTATTAACATACCACTATACTGTGAAGCCTAACGTTCCTACAAAATGGTATGTCTGCTTATCTCACAATTAAAACCTGAAACTTTTTCTCTGGCTCACGAAATTTGTGAAAATATTAAATTATTTTGTCTGTTGATCAAGTCTATGATCAGTGAATATCATAAACATAGCTACTGATATTCCACTTTATCTGTTGATCAAGTCTGTGATATGTGAATATCATAAACATAGCTACTGATATTCCACTTTATCTGTTGATCAAGTCTGTGATATGTGAATATCATAAACACAGCGACTGATAGTCCACTTTACCTGTTGATCAAGTCTGTGATATGTGAATATCATAAACATAGCTACTGAAATTCCACCTTATCTGTTGATTAAGTCTGTGATCTGTGAATATCATAAACACAGCTACTGATATTCCACATCATCTGTTGATAAAGTCTGTGATCTGTGAATATCATAAACACAGCTACTGATATTCCACATCATCTGTTGATAAAGTCTGTGATCTGTGAATATCATAACACAGCTACTGATATCCCACCTTATCTCTTGATCAAGTCTGTGATCTGTGAATATCATAACACAGGGACTGATATTCCAATTTACCTGTTGATCAAGTCTGTGGTCTGTGAATATCATAAACACAGCGACTGATAGTCCACTTTATCTGTTGATTAAGTCTGTGATCTGTGAATATCATAACACAGCGACTGATATTCCACCTTATCTCTTGATCAAGTCTGTGGTCTGTGAATATCATAAACACAGCGACTGATATTGCACTTTATCTTTTGATCAAGTCTGTGGTCTGTGAATATCATAACACAGCGACTGATATTCCACTTTATCTGTTGATCAAGTCTGTGGTCTGTGAATATAATAAACACAGCGACTGATAGTCCATTTTATCTGTTGATCAAGTCTGTGGTCTGTGAATATCATAACACAGCGACTGATAGTCCACTTTATCTGTTGATCAAGTCTGTGGTCTGTGAATATCATAAACACAGCTACTGATATTCCACTTTATCTCTTGATCAAGTTTGTGATCAGTGAATATCATAACAAAGCTACTGATATTCCACTTTATCTGTTGATCAAGTCTGTGGTCTGTGAATATCATAACAAAGCTACTGATAGTCCACTTTATCTGTTGATCAAGTCTGTTTTATGATATTCACAGATCCACAGCTACTGATATTCCACTTTATCTGTTGATCAAGTCTGTGGTCTGTGAATATCATAACACAGCTACTGATATTCCACTTTATCTCTTGATCAAGTCTGTGGTCCTAATAAAATGTAACATTATCTACACGTGTACATATTAAGAAAATATACACATTGGTACACAGTAATAAAATGTGTACCCTGTAGATGTATGCCCTAACTAAGTGTATACACAATATATTTTGAAATTCGATCATGTAAATTATACTCTGTATTAGAAAGATCACACTGTTACCGCCAGCTGATAATCTGTTTCTTGTGATCAATTCAATCTATTTTCTTAATGATCATGTAAATTATACTCTGTATTAGAAAGATCACACTGTTACCGCCAGCTGATAATCTGTTTCTTGTGATCAATTCAATCTATTTTCTTGACGTCTTCTACCCCAGGTTCACAGAGAACCGAACTTTTTGATAACTATGTTATTACTTGCCAACCTCTTTAAATTTTCTTTTGTGTTTTCAAAATGTCAAACCAAAGCTTGATTTTAAAGGGTTAACGTCGTTTATCAATTTTTGTTGTAAATATTTTTTTATAAAGTGCATTCGTTTTTGAAAAGTAATTTTCTTGGTTCCAAAGTCTGGGTTTTTTAGTGCCTTATATTTGAAAAGATGTAGCGTAAAGAAATATACATTGGTTTGCCCTAATAACAATAAAACAGGGGTACTCTCAAGAAGCGTATGAAGACGTTACATCTTTCCAAGAGATGCACTGTAGATAATTTTTCATGCTGCCCATCTATAGACAGTAAATGGATTGACCATTTCGATGACTGTATTTACTATGTGTTGTTATCTTGGAACGGCTGAGGAAAATAAGTTTCTTTTTTAGGGCAGTAACATCAGTTAATGCTTACAATCAGTTATTGGTAAATCTATTTCACATCTCGTGATTTGAATTCAGAACAGGAAAAGTACAAGAAAAATTCCAAGCACCATCCGTCTCTCACCGTCAATGTTTCTTCCGGCCGGGAGCAAGATTGATCGGGGTTTCATTGCTGTGTAATTGAATCCACTATAAAGAGCAGGTTGTCCATCAACTTTTCTATCGAACGCGTGTATTCCTGAAAAGAAAAGTCTGATAATTGGAGAAGTTTTCCTCTTTGTTTTCACTGACTAAAGTTGTAATATCTAGAGCCCGCGAGTGAACACGTAATCGAAACTGAAAGTATGTATATTTCAATGTTTTCGTATTGATTGTTAACCCTAGTTTCTCAACATGTAAAGCCACTCGTCACGGCTGAGAGGAAGTTTGTAGGGGCGACTAATATTCATGAACACACGATTATTTCCATTCGGCTCACATAACACCAAGAAAACAGCAGTGTTTAGGTTCTTGCGTGTTTAGTGAGAGAAGGTTTGTTCTTCACCGAAGTAAAGAACAAACACTGAAGATTAAACATGGTCGACACTAGCACCATACGACACCACGCAGACATATATATCTCACAAACAAGAAACAGTCGAGCTGCATTCTTGCTGGTATATAGAATAACTTATAATCTATAATATCTCACAAACAAGAAACAGTCGAGCTGCATTCTTGCTGGTATATAGAATAACTTATAATCTATAATATCTCACAAACAAGAAACAGTCGAGCTGCATTCTTGCTGGTATATAGAATAACTTATAATCTATAATATCT